GGAGAACACCATGGACCATGGGCGATGGAGATAGTCGAGCGCACGGCCGAGGAAGTGCGAGAGCGGCCAAGGGAGAGAGACAGAGAGAGAGAGAGAGTCTGAGAGAGAAGCAACGCGATGCGCCTCCCCTGCTCGCCGTGCGCTCCAGGCACGGAAAGGAAGTCCCAGGGCAACGAGTTCGAGTTCGACTCGAACTACACCCACGCCAAGACCCGAGTGCAGCGGCTGACTACCGAGTTGCGAGTTCCAATGTTCGAATGGTTCCTGATGCCCTCGCATCTGCAGGATTCGGAGACGGCCGCCATGTACAAGCAATTGCTTCTGCGCCCCTCGGCTATAGCGTACAGCGACACGGTGACTGAGGACAGTGCTGAACTGCAAGCATTTGCACACATGTGTTCGCCATTGCCAGACGGCTCCCGGGAGCACTTCACTCCGGCCACGGCGTTCTCGGCCAATTGGCTTTTTACCAGCGAGAGATGGAGGTGGACGCAGCGGAGGGGCGGCAGCGGTTCCTCGACAGGTTCGAATACCCCTCTCTGTGGGAGACGGAAGAGGTGATCGCAGCGCAACACGGCGCCTGGCTGGATCGCGGCCACGTCGGGGAAGTCGATCCAGATCATTGCCGCGCGCTCAGTTGCGTCGACCGATAGCCCCGATCGGTGATCCGCTCGAGATCGTCGACTGCGTCGGTGACTTTTCTGGTTCCAGGAGAATGTCGAGATCGTTGTCCGACCCGTCGCTTGCATCCGTTGGCCTGCAGATGTCGGGGCAGTCTTGGGGGTGTGACGTTTTACGGGAAACGGCCCTCGGTGACCTCCCCCCCCTTCTCCTCGGGGGATTCGGTACGAACGCCAGGCCCGCACGTCGGGCCCATCGCGTGCTCCGGGAGCGCGCCCCCACCTCACCACGTTTCTGTCGATTCCGCGTTGCCTCTCGGCGCGCCCCCGCCCTTCGCGCCCCTCGTACTCCCGAGGCCCTGACAAGAGCTAGCCGCGCGCCACGGTGAAGCAGTGCGCCGCCATCGTCGGGCTGCAGGTGGCGCAGAACCTGGAGGGCCTTGCGAGAGCGCGCATGGAGCGCCGCCCGCGCCAGCACCAGTCAGACGCAGCCGTTCACGAGGCGCACCTCCGCATGACCGCTGGTGGAGGCGGGGTTGGCGACGAGGGGGCAGGCGACGCGGCGGACGACCCTCCGGCAGCGCCGCAGCTGAAGATCGGCACTTTCGAGGAGGTGCCCCTGCTGGGGATGACGAGCACCGAGGACCTCAGGAAGAGGCTGACCTACGGCCATAGGGCTCGGCCCAACTTGTTCGAGAAGGAGCTGCTGGCCCTCCCGCGCATGGACTGGAAGGACGCCCTCCCCGACCACTCCCGCGCTGATCGCCTGTTCGACCAAGGCCGCGGGGAAGCGCGGCGACTGCAATACCACGGTCTGCGCGACAGCATGCCTGACGTCTGGAGCGGAACGGACCGCGTGGACAAGCATATCCATATGCTTAAGTTGCAGGATCTCGCATTCCAAGATAAGGCGGCAGGCGGCGATGATTCCGACGACGAGGACGAGGCGCCCGGGGCGGGAGACGGAAAGGACCCCGAGCCGGCGTCATTCGACGAAGCCGGTGTGAACGCCACCCCGGGCGCCTACATCATGGACCTCGCGGCTGGCTTGCCAGAGAACAAGCGGCTCACTCGAGACCAGAGCATCTTCGCCATGCGCTTTGCTGATGCCTGCGACCAGGTCTGGCGCGACGAGAAGAACGGCACCCCCTGCCACCGGCGCAAGGTCCACAACATTCTCCTGCTGGGCCAGGGTGGATCTGGCAAGACGCACGTGGTGCAGGAGCTCGTGTTCAAGGCGGTGAACCACATCCGGCCGCAAGAGAGCAAGGCCAGTCCGAGCCTCGTTGTGGCGGCCTTCTCCAATGCTCAAGCCAAGAACATCTCGACGGCGGACGTGGAGGCCAGGACGATCCACGGAGCTGGAGGCATGGCCGCGCAGGAGCTGACGAACGAGAAGATGCGGCCCAGCGCCGAGAAGCTCAAGAAACTGGAGCAGCGATGGCGCCGAGTGCGCGTGCTTGTCATGGAGGAGATAACATGATATCTGCGGCCCTCTACAAGATGCTGGACTTCAGGAGCATGTTCGGCAGGAGCCAGGAGTTCGCCGTGGACGAGTCTAACTACAGGAAGGACCACCACCACTTCGGGCGAGTCCCCATCGTCATTCGCCTGGGTGACTTCCTCCAGCTCACCCCGACGCGGACGTCCAGGAGAAAGACGAGGACGGTAACTACAAGTTGGATCCGCCTCCGAGCGTGGAAGTGCAGCACGCCATCAGAGTGTTCGGCAAAGTGCCCCGCGTGATCGAGCTGAAGGGCACCAAGCGCTTCAAGCCTGGCTACCCTCTGATCGAGTTCCTGGCCTGCATGCGCTTCGCGCGCCGGATTCCAGACCGTGTATGGGCCGCCTTCCAGTCTCGGGTCGCCACCGACTGCACGACCGGAGTGAGGGGCCCGAGGCACGACGAGGAGAAGTTTGCGACTATTTTCGACATGGCCTGGTACTGGAGCACGCTGAGCCGATGGATATCTCGCCGGAGCATGATCGACTCTCGCGCCATGGGCGTGCCGTTGGTTTTCCTGCAGTCGAAGGACGAGGGCGTCGCCTGCAGTACACCGCAGGAAACCGTTGATGCGTGCAAAAGCTGCTGAACGTGCCGAACCCTGGCGACACGGGGCACATGCACGGAGTTCTTCCCGCGCACGTGGGCATGGAGGTGAGGTTCACCGTCAAGGTGTCCAAGCGCAAGAGCTTGATCCACGAGCAGAAGGCCACCATCGTGAGCTTCGCGTTCGAAAGCAACGACCAGGACAGGTACGACGACTGCGTTCCGGGAGAGATCTTCCGCCCGCGCTGTCTGCCTGCCGGAATCTGGATGCAGGTGCACAACTTCGAGAAGCAGAGCCTGGACGTGGTGGAAGCCCTCGTCAACTCCTTCGGAATCCAGAAAGAGAAGGCGAACGGCCTGTTCGTCTTCCCGCTCATGGAGGCGCACTTCAAGTGGCAGGCGCCAACATTGTGCACCGGGTCAAGAGGTTCGGGCACGCGCTCACGCACGGGCGCTTCCTGACGTCCACCGCGTCACAGGGCCAGACGATCCTCACCGGAGTGACCATCGACTGCGCGCAAGACAGGAACATTGGCAGACCGGAGGAGAGAGCGGAGAATTGGTGGCTGCACTTGTACGCGATGCTCAACAGAGCCACTTGCATGGACGATCTGCTCTTACTTCGGCCGACGCCAAGGGAGGTCCTGCAGAAAGGCCCGCCTCCGTTCGTGCTCAAAGCCCTGCAGCAGTTCGATGAGCGCTTGGCCACGGAGACGCGGGAGATCGAGGCCCTCGCCCTGGAACGCCACTGGATCTTGCCAGCGGCGTGAGGTCGTCGGAGCGCACGGCCGCCAGAGTCCTTCCGACAAAGGCAGCGCTGTCCAGCCGCGTCGAAGTCGCGCGGCCCGTGCCGCTCCTGGACGATTTCGGAGCGTCCGCCCAGCTTTTGTTGTCGTGGCAACCACAGCCCAGAGATTTTCCAACGAAGGGCATTCGCTTGCCGCACGCGGGCGGATCACGTTTGCCATGCAAGCTTTTTTTGCGCGCGCACCTCAGAGACTCTCCGTCGAAGAGACGCGGCGACAGACTTGTGGAAACTGCATGAGATTACAAAAATTAGACCGACCGAGGAAAGAAAGGGAGGCAAGGGTGCGGGAGAACGCAGCATGAGGCGAGGGGGTGTGATTCGCACCAACTTCCACAGTGTGCCCCCTGACTACTCGAGCTGTGGCAAATCGTTTAGCATCACCTCATCGGTTGTTGCGATCCCGAGAAACGGCCCTCGGTGACCACCTCGAGCTTTTTTTCCGATGACGGATAGAAAGCGGGGAAGAGAGAGGAGGTTCGCTCAGTAGTGTGTTGGATGACAAAATAGGGAAACATTCGCGACGAGGGTTTAGAACGCAGGATTGCGCATAGATGATAACGAACAGCAACACACATAATATTTAAATTGGGTATGTGGGGTTCCTCGGTAGCGTAATTTTTTAGTCGCGGGAAGACGCGTAAAGCTGTCGCCGAGAGGGTAGTCCGGGGCACGGGCCAGCCTAATTAGCTACTGAGCGACGCGCAAGACGGCCGGGACAGCACTCAGAAGCGGCTGCCGGGGTGCTGCTGCTGGGGGTAGCTGGCTGGGTGCAAATCTGAGGCAGAAAGACGACAAAGTTGGAATTAGGTCCTGCACGCCAGGAACACATGATCGGCTCTGTACCTGCGACCACGCATCACACTAGCAAGGGCGCTTCCACTGCCGGGCAACCCAGAAAGCGGCGCGCCACCAGGAACAGAGAGCTGGAAGCCAGCAGGTGGGAATAGGCGAAGCGTCAAGAGTTTAAGGAGTTTCACCTGCCCTTTTAGAACGAACGTCCCCCTCTCATCACGTTTTTCCTTCACCCCAGCGTTCCCTCTAGTCTGAACCCTTCCGCCCATTCCGCCTCCACCCCCTCGCCAACTCCCCAACTCCCCCGCCACTCCGCCACTCCCCATCCATCCTCGATGTCTGTCCCCGTACCGTTCCCTGCTCGGCTTCTCTCCCCTCCTCTCCCCACCCATTCACGCACCGCCCTCCGCCACATTCCATAGCCCGCCGCTTCATGACCCCGCCCTGTTCTTCATCTACTCTCTGGAAACAACCATGAACTCGAACATGCTCACATCATTATGGGGAACATCCTGTACTTCCGGTGGTTTCCGCTGTCCATCCGTGACCTTCCACCAGCGGAACCGCTGCCGTTTTACTTCCGCCGGCTCCCGCCACCTTCCGCCGAGGAAGACATGCCAACTCCTTCGCACCTCGAAGGCGAGGCCCCGTATGGAGCAGCAAATCGCGCACCAGTCAACCCGAGCTAACCCGCAGCCCACCCAGGCATCAGAGGGCGGCGTGACCCCACCTCCGTGGGGGCGTCGACGACCGCCGCCGCTCGCGTTCGCGATCCTGCGCGGCGCGGAGGCGGGGAAGGCTTCGGGGCGGGGGGTACAGGGGCGGGAGAAGGACGGGGAATGGGCTAGGTTGGGGGGCATTGAGAGGGTCTACCACGACTACGGCTGCGACTGCGACTCCGACTGCGAATGCTACTCGTAGTATTATGAGAACTACGATTAGCATTTTCGATATTACTACTATTACTACTACTACTACTACTACTACTACTACTACTACTACTACTACTACTACTACTACTACTACTACTACTACTACTACTACTACTACTACTACTACTACTACTACTACTACTACTACTACTACTACTACTACTACTACTACTACTACTACTACTACTACTACTACTACTACTACTACTACTACTACTACTACTACTACTACTACTACTACTACTACTACTACTACTACTACACTACTACTACTACTACTACTACTACTAACTACTACTACTACTACTACTACTACGACTACGACTACGACCACGACTACGACTACGACTACTACTACTACTACTACTACTATTTCTACGGCTACTAGTAGTAGTAGTAGTAGTAGTACTACTACTACTAAGACGATTACAATCACTACTTCTCTTACTACTACCACTACGACGACGATTACTACTACTACTACTACTAAGACTACAACAACGTCTACTACTACTACTACTACTACTACTACTACTACTACTACTACTACTACTACTACGACTACCACTCCTACTCCTACTCCCACTACTACTACTACTACTACTACTACTACTGCTACTACGACTACTACTACGACTACTACTACTACTACTACGACTACTGCTACTACTACTACTACTACTACTACTACTACTACCACTACTACTACTACTACTACTACTACTACTACTACTAAACTACTACTAATGCTACTACTACTACGGCGACTACGACGAACTATACGGATCATACGGGGCCGGCTTCTACCATCACAACCACTACTATTACTACTACGACTACTACGACTACTACTACTACTACTACTACTACTACTACTGCCTACTGCTACTACTACTACTGCTACTACGACTTCTACTACGACGATGACGACTACGACTACGACTACTACGACTATTGCTACCATTACTACTACTACTACTACTACTACTACTACTACTACTACTACGACTACTACTACTACTACTACTACAACTACTACTACTACTACTACGACTACTACTACCACTACGGCTACTACTACTGCTACTGCTGCTGCTTCTACTACTACTACTACTACTACTACTACTACTACTACTACTACTACTACGACTACCTCAAATAAGTACCAAAGCGACTACCGCTACGAATACGACTGCGACGACGACTAGTACTACCAATACTACTAGTACTGCCGCTGCCACTACGACGACGACGACGACGACAACGACTACTACTACTACTACCACTACGACTACGACTACGACTACAAGTACTACGACCACCAAGGCCACTACGACTACTACTACTACAAGTGCTACAACTACTAAAACTACCAATACTACGACTACTACTACTACGACTACTACGACTACTACTACTACTACTACTGCTACTACTACCACTACTGCTACTACTACTGCTACTACTACTCCTACTACTGCTTGTACCTATAAAACTACTACTGCCACTACCAGTACTACGACGAAAACTACCAATACTACTATCACCAAAACCAAAACTACCACTACTACGACTACGGCCAAAACAGCTACAACTACAACGACAAATACTAATACTGCTACAACTCGTACCGCGAATCTGATTACGACTTATATTATTACTGGGGATACGCCTGCTACTAGTAGTAGTACGACTACTGCTACTACTACTGCTACTGCAACTACTACTACTAAGACTATGACCGCTACTACGGCTTCTTGGACTACTACCATTACTAGTTGTAGTACTAGTACTACAACTACTACTGCTATGACTACTACTAGTACTACTACTACTACTACTACTACTACTACTGCCGCAACAAATGCTACTACTACGGCGACGACTACTACTCATGCTCCTACAACAACTACTACTACTACTACTACTACCACTACTACGACTACTACTACTACCACTACTACTACTACTACCACTACTACTACTACTACTACTACTACTACTACTACTACTACTACTACTACTAGTACTACGACTACTTCTGGTACACCTACTACTACTACTACTACTACTACCACTACTACTACGGCTACGGCTACGACTACCACTTCCACTGCGACTACTACTGCCACTAACTACAACTACTACTACCACGGTGCTTACTCTTACGGCTACTAGTACTACAGCTACAACTACTATTTCATTACCATCTACTACGAGTACTGCAATTAGTAACACGAACCTACAATTACCCCTACGCATACTACCTTTAGCACTACACTTACGACTGCAACAGTGACGGCTACCACTATTACTACCACCACGACGACTACTACTACCACTACAACTACTACACTACCACTATTACTACCACTACGAATACTGCTACTACTCATACTACGACGATTACTCCTACTCAGACTACTACTACTTCCACGATTTCTACCACTAGTACTACTACTACTACTACTACTACTACTACTACTACTACTACTCGAACTACCATTGCCACTACCACCATTACGACTACTACTACGACTACTACTACTACTACTACTACCACGACGACTACTACTACTACTACTACTACTACTAGTACTAGTACTAGTACTACTACTACTACTACTACTACTACTACTACGACTACTACGATCACTACTACTACTACTACTACTACTACTACTACTACTACTACTACTAGTACTACGACTGATACTACTACTACTACTACTACTTCTACCACGACTCCTTCTACCACTTCTGGTACAACTATTACGACTACGATTACTATCCTACAACTACGACTACTACCACTACTACCACTACTACCACTACTACTACTACTACTACTGCTACTACCACTACTACTGCTACTACTACTACTACGACTACTACTACTAGTACCAGTACTAGTACTTCTACTATTAGTACCACTAGTAGTAGTAGTAGTAGTAGTAGTAGTAGTAGTACTGGTGATAATAATAGTATTAATCGTTGCATTTCTACTATTACGACTACTACTACTCCCACTGATACTACCACTACTAGTACTACAACTACTACCCGTGCGACTACCAATCAGTACTACTACGACTACTGCTACAATTACTGGTACCCCTCCTACTACTCCAACCGCCACGACTACAACTAGTACGACTACCACTACAACAATAATACTGATAATGGTAGTACTGCTACTACTACTACTACTCCTACTACTACTACCACCACTACTACCACTACTACTACGGCCTCTACGATTACGGATGCGGCTACTACCACCACTACTACTACTACTACTACTACTACCACATCCACCACCACCACCACCACCACCACCACCACCACCACCACACCACTACTACTACTACTACTACTACTACCTACTACTACTACTACTACTACTACTACTACTACTACTACTACTACTACTACTACTACTACTACTACTACTACTACTACTACTACTACTACTACTACTACTACTACTACTACTACTACTACTACTACTACTACTACTACTACTACTACTACTACTACTACTACTACTACTACTACTACTACTACTACTACTACTACTACTACTACTACGACTACTACTACTACTACTACTACTACTACTACTACTACTACTACTACTACTACTACTACTACTACTACTACTACTACTACTACTACTACTACTACTACTACTACTACTACTACGACTACTACTACTACTACTACTACTACTACTACTACTACTACTACTACTACTACTACTACTACTACTACTACTACTACTACTACTACTACTACTACTACTACTACGGATACTACTACGACCGCAACTATTTCGTGTACTACAACTCATGCGTTCGCCACGGCTACCATCGCCACAACGAAGACCTATCACCACCACGACCACGAGCATGGCGATGGTTATACCGTGGCCCCTGCGTCCTCTTGCGCGCTTTAAGATGACCGACCACGTTCTTTACCGGAAAGCCCTAGAGAAAAAAGGGCCCGCATTGTAAATTCCTCACCCAAAGATCCTTCGTCGAAAAATGCCCTGCGACGTGCCCAACACATTTGCATCAAGTGACAAGACACGTTGTCCCAAACTTGCCCAGACAATGACTGTGCAGGCGCCGTGATCTGTTGTGCAAGCTACATGGGATGCGCCCTCGCGGCACGAGTCACAAGACAACAACAGAAGGACGAGGAGCGAGGGCCCAGGCTTGAGGACATGGGGGGGCGGAAGCGAAGGGCAACAAACAAACACGCGCGGGGGGCCAAACCGTCAGCGCGGCAGCAGCAGAAGGAAGGTGACAGGGGGCAGAGGACGACGACGAAAGTGAGGGAGGAGACCGAAGAGTGTTGCTGTTGTCTGTAGCGCGCTAAAGATGCAGCGCTTCCGCGGCGCTCGACAAAATGATTAAACACGGTGATAGTCAGTGCAATAAGCGAGCGAAGCCTAGCTCGCCCGCCAGCTCCCATGTTTCGTTCCTGTATTTTCCAATGCGGGAGGTAAACGCTCCAAGGCGCGCGACCAGGTCTGAAGCGGCCCGCGACAGCGCCCCGCTGGACCCCCCAAGCAGCCTTCGAAACTAGCGACAACTTCGCAGGGCGCAGCCCCTCCGAATGGTATCAAATGTAAATCCGCGCAGTGCGTCACTGAGCTTGACCCCCAGCAGCCTTTGAAAGTGGCGGCAATTTCGCAGCTCGCAGCCCCCCAGGGATGGCAAGGTCTAGTTTGAATCTTGGTAAAACGCCATCCCGCTGAACCCCCCAGCAGCTCTCAAAAGTGGCGACAATGTCGCAAATCGACCCCCCTCAGGGATGGCGTTCTGAATCTGGGTA